GTATCCACAGTCAGATACTACAAGGATTCTACAAAAAAAGAAAATCATAAGCCAATACCTCTAATGAACTTTAATGCAAAAATCCTCAACAAAATACTGGCACTTTCAACTATGCATTTAAAGAATAAGAGATTATGCTGAGTGAAGTAAGTCAAGCAGAGAGCGTCAATTATCATACGATTTCACTTGCTTGTGGAGCATAAGGTAACACGAGGACATTAGGAGAAGGAAAGGAAAAGTAAATTGGGGGAAATCAGAGGGAAAGACGATCCATGAGAGACTGTGGACTCTGAGAAACAAACAGCGTTTTGGAGGGAATGTGAGTGGGGGTGGGGGGGTTAGGTGAGCCTGGTGGTGGGTATTAAGGAGGGCATGTATTGCATAGAGCACTGGGTGTGGTGCATAAACTATGAATCTTGGAACACCGAAAAAGTATAATTAAGTTAAAGAAGAAAAAAAAAAAAAGAATGGGGCATCAGGGTGGCTCAGTGGATTAAGCCTCTGCCTTCAGCTCAGGTCATGATCTCAGGGTCCTGGGATCCAGCCCTGCATCAGGCTCTCTGCTCAGCAGAGAGCATGGTTCCCCCTCCCCCTCTGCCTGCCTCTCTGCCTACTTGTGATTTCTCTCTCTGTCAAATAAATAAATAAATAAAATCTAAAAAAAAAAAAAAAAGAATTCAACATCGTCAAACAGTATTTATCCCTGAGATGGTTGAATGCGTACACCTCAATCACTGCGATGCACCACATTACTAGAATGAAAGGTAAAAATCATATGATCCTTTCAATAATGACAGAAAAAGCAACTGACATCATTTAACATCTTTTCATAATAAAAAAAAAACTCTTAAGAAATTAGCTATAGAAGGAACATACTTCAACATAATAAAAACCATATATGACATTCCCAAAGCTAACATCATACTCAACAGTAAAAAGTTTAATACTGTTCCTCTAAGATCAGAAACAAGACAAGGGTACCTGCTCTCATTACTCCTATTCAGCACAGTACTAGAAGTCCTACCCAGAGCTATCAGGCAAGAAAAAGAAATTAAAGGCATCCAAACAAGAAAAGATGAAGTAAAATTGTCTCTGTTTGCTAGTGACAATCCTAGAGAGTCCACACACACACACACACACACACACACACAACCCTATTAAGACTAATAAACCACTTCAGTAAAGTTTCAGAATACAAAATAAGATCTATATACCTATATACCAAAAAGAAAACTAATGAAAGAAATTGAAAAAGATAGAAGATTTAATGATGGTCAAGTATCTATACTACCCAAAGTCATCTATAGTCAGTGCAATTCCTATCAGAATTCCAATGGCATTTTACACAAAAATAATTTTTAAAAATCCTTAAATTCATATGGAATTTGAAAAGACCCTGATATGGGATTGGGAGGGAGAAAAACCATAAGAGACTCTTGATCTCACAAAACAAACTGAGGGTTGCCCGGGGGGGTGGGGGGGTGCTGTTGGGAGAGGGTCGTGGGATTATGGACATTGGGGAGGGTATGTGCTATGGCGAGTGCTGTGAAGTGTGTAAACCTGGCGATTCACAGGCCTACCCTGGGGCTAATAATACATTATATGTTAATAAAAAATATATATTTTTTTTAAAAAGACCCTGATAGCTAAAGCAATCTTGAAAAAGAACAAAGGCATCCCATATCCTGAGCTAAATCTGTATTACAAAGCTACAGTAATCAAAACAGTATGGCACTGTCAGAAAAAACAGACTCATAGACCAATGGAATAGAACTGACAGCCCAGAAATAAACCCTCAACTAATATCTACCAGAGGAGCCAAGGATATTCAGTGGGAAAACAATAATCTCTTTAGTAAACAATACTGAGAAAACTAGATACTCACATGCAAAGAATGAAGTTGAATCCCATCTTACACCGCTCACAAAAATTAACTCAAAATAGACTGAAAACTTAAAGACCTGAAACTATAAACATAGTTATAGTTTAGAAGAAAACATAGAGGAAAGCTCCTCGATTTAGGTCTTTTGCCATGATTTTTTAGATATGACTAAAAGAAGAAAAAGTAACAAAAGCAAAAATAAACATGCGTAACTACATCAACCTAAAAATTTCTGTGCACCAAAAGAAACAATCAACAAAATGAAAAGGCCACCTATGAAATAGAAAATATTTACAAACCATGTATGTATGTGATATATGATGTATTTGTAAACCATGATACATACGATTCAATAGCAAAAAAATAATAATTTGATTAAAAAATGGACAAAAGACCAGAACAGATATTTTTCTAAAGAAGACATACAGATGGCCAACAGGCATATAAAAAGATGTTCAATAGCCCTTATCATTAGGGAAATGCAAGTAAAAACCATAATGAGACATCATTTACATCAGTTAAAATGGCTTGCATAAAAAAGATAAGAGATAAGAAATGGTGGTGGTGGAGATTCCCCAAGAAATTAAAACTAGAACTACCATGTGATACCACAGTCTAACTTCTAGGTATATATCCAACGGAAACAAAATCACTATCTTGAAGAGATATCTGCAGTCTCATGTTCATTGCATTACTCAGTATAGCCAAGACAAGGAAACAGTCTAAACACCTGTCTCCATTGATGGATGAATGGATGAAGAAAATGTGGTTTAAACTTAGAATGGAATATTATTCAGCCATAAGAGAGTAGATTCAACATGAGTGAAGCTGAGGGCATTAGGCTAAGTGACATAAGTCAGACAAAGACAAATACTTATCTGTATGATCTCACTTATATGTGAAATCTAAAAACATTGACCTCGATATGTATATAAGTTGATGGATGTTAACTAAACCTATTATGATAATCATTTCACAATAAATGTAAATGAAACCAGCTTAAACTTATACAATGATACATGTCAATTAAACAGAGAATAGATTGATAGTTACTGGGAGCTGGGAGTTAGGGGAAATAGGGAATGTTGGTTAAAGGGTACAAATTCCAGGGATCTAATGGAAGGCAAGGTGACCATAGTTAACAGTATTGTATTGTATGCATGAAAGTTGCTATATTATTAAATCTTGAATGTTCTCAACAACAACAACAAAATGGTACTTAGGTGAAAGATGTGTTTTTGTGGTAAACATTTTGTAATATATATGTGCATCAAATCATCACATTGTACACTTTAAATTTATATAATGTATGTCAGTTGGGTCTCAAAGCTGAAGAAATTAGGAAAACTCAGTCTCCATTAGAGTACCTAGTTTGAGGATTCTACACCTGTATTATCCACATATTCTTAGATGTAAATAAGTTTGCATGTTACGTATAAATTAGCTACTTAAATGTTTTCTTTAAGAATTTTCTTCTCAGAATGCTGATAATTTTAGTTTGAAACGATTTTAGTAGGAGTATGACTCATTTAAATAGCTTTTATCTTCTATAGCAACTTAAACACCTTCTCATAGCCTCCTTATCAATTATACTCTTGGTCAGGCTATGACTACCTAAGACATGATTTTTTTGTTTTGTTCTCCACATGGACTCATGTGGAACTCCCTCTTCTGGGTAATGTTAGGTAATGAATAACTGATACTTCTCATTCTTTAGAGAATGCATTAAAATCTTTTGTATTACCATCTCATTGATAAAAACTTTATTTCAATATTTTAAATTATTATAAAAACACTAAGTTAAAATGGCAACTACTTATAGATGCATAGAAGTCTTGGCTTTTTTTCCATTATAAATCTATAAACAAACATAGCTAAATAGTTAGTCTTCATAAACAGTCATGTTTTAAACATGGCATTTTTTTCTAATATGAAAGTAACTCATTATAGAATACTGGAAAATACAAACTGTATGAAAAAGAAAATGAAAACCATCTATCTATTATTCCACCACCCAAAGAGAACCATCATCCAAATACTGTTTCCTTAGCTTCCTGTGGTAGCATAGACATAACTCTGTGTCTTTTTGCCATTCACATAATTTTGTGTATGTGTTAGATGACAAAGGGACAAATCCAAAATATTAAGTAATGTCTCATAGTGTTTATTATTTACAAGTGAATTTTATCTCCTCTTTTTTTTTTAAACTTCATTAATTCTCTTAGGAAAGTTTTTCCCCCATGGTTTTGAACTGAAGCCACCACTAACAGTATATTTACAATGTTAGCAGTGGCAACATTAGCAAATCCTAGAGCTCAGATTCAAACTCAATTCTCTTAGTATCTCAAATCCCAGTTCTCTTCCCTCAACAATGCAACTACTTCAATGTATTTGTATTTCAGCTACAGTCTGTCCCTTTGACTAAATTAAAAATCATTCTAAAAGTTTGCCTTAAAACACCCTCAGAGTGTTACTACATAAAGTTTAAATATCAAGTATAAATTTTCAAGCAATTAGTTTTGGTTTTGCCTGAGCAGAACACCCCACAGATGATGTCGAATAAAAACTATTTACACACTACCATAGAGCATTTCTTGTAAAAACGTTGGGTCTGTAGCAGCGATTTGCTAATCAAATTCAGAATTTGATTTGAAATGCCTCCGGCAGGCAGCCAATCCAGTTATGAAAGCACAGAAGCAAAAACTAGAGCCCTGGTGAGTCTCCTCCAGAAGCGAGCTGGGTCCTTTGCTCTCATTAGCAAACTGGTTCCATAGGAAATCATTGTGATTGCTTCTAAAATAAAATATTGTTAATTTTTTCAATAAATTATTGGACTGTACTAGACACAAAACATGTACATTTCAGAATCTAGAATTATAAAATATTTTGACATGTTTTAATATAAACAGGAACATTTCCAATGATTGCTTGGATCTAAAATGTTTTTCCACTTGACATTTGTTTATACTTCCTAGGAAAGAAACTCTATTTATGGATAACTGAATAACACAAATAAACATCAGAGAGAGCTGAAAAATCAGCTTTGATTATGCATGAAAATCTACAATGTCATTGTGTACTCTTATGCCGTATTCTGATTGCCTGTTTATTTTTACAGAACTGCTGGTGAGCCTATGGAAGAGGAGCCAGCCTTGTGAAGTGCCAAGCCCCCCACCCCCATATTTCCTGTGTGTGACATCATTGTGTATCCCCCCACCCAGCACCCTCAGACATGTCTTGTCTGCTGCCTGGGTGGCACAGATTCGATGTAACGTAAACACTGGGCACAAAATTCCGAACAGCAGCTTCACTTGTTCTTTGGATGGACTTGAAAGGGCATTAAAGATTCCTAAAACGTAACCGCTGTGATTCTCAAGTTACGGTAAACCACTATTGGAAGAAACTGCTTCCAGCATGCTTTTAATATGCTGGGTGACCCACTGCCAGGCCCTAAGTATAAACTAATAACATCCAGTATGGCATTAGATACTATTAATTATTATGGATGCTATGACAGCCAGAGAAATTCTGGGCAAAACCTGAAAAATACTCATTCCTGACATTCTGATCAGTTTCTTAATGGATAATTTTTGTCTGTCTTAAACTGTTTACAGGATTTGTTTTCAGCTATGAACGGACAGCAGTTCCCAACATATTGCAGGGGTTGTTTTGTTTTGTTTGTTTTTTGGCCTTTGTTTTAAACACATGGTTCAATTCTTGCTAGTAAGAGTTCAAGATGGAAGAACTGGGATGAGGCTTTTTTCAATAGAATAAACCAGCCTGTATCTCAAAGTCCAAATGCCAAAGGACCCTCACATACTGTATGTAATGGTGCAGTATTTTATGTCCATTTTTTTAGAAGAATAACCCTATTTCCTTAACATCCCTCTGTGTGTTCTCACACGTGGGGGATTTGCAGTTGTATTTGAGGATGAGGTCTCCGGTTCCCCTCATCCGTCCCTTGCTTTGATGATAAGTAGTATCAAGCATATGTTCCACAGAGGATGGTCTTAATTTTTTTTTCCAAATCTATCAAGAACCTAGTTTGCACTTTCCATCTTCTTTCCTCCAGCACATGCTTTTTCTTACCTTTCATCCTTCCTTCCTTACAGAAAAGCTAAAGATTACCCACAATCTCCCTGGCTATTCAGGAGATTTGAGTATTTCATTATTTTTAACTTTTCAGGTTAACACAGTTGCTTGGTGTGATGTGTTCTTTTAGCTGAGACACCATCAAGATGAAGCTGTATCACTGAATTTTCTAGATCTTCAAAATGTGTTAATGAAGGCATTGCCTATTTGAAGTCACCTTGAATTGTGTTAACCTCAAAGTTGTGCCTTCCTGTGGGGAAAAAACACACACAAAAAAATACATATTTAACCTTTGCACATGTTGCCTTAATGTCAGAGGCTAAAAATAAAGGACATTTATTTCTGAGATGAAAAGCGATTTACTAAATATAAATAGGTTATGCCCCTGCCTCCCTAAATTTTATTTCAGTATATAACTCAAACACCTAAAGACATTGATGTAGAATACCTCGCAGTATTTAATATCTGACAATGCTTTTGAAAGAGTTGATGTTTCTTTTTATATATTTTCCTAACTCAAAGGATATATTAAACCCATAAGGGAAGATTGTCATGCTTTTATTCAGAAATCTGAAAGAAACCTTAATTAAAACAAGGTTTTAGGGAAGGCCATGATATGAAAGATATAGAACAATATGGTTTTAGTTAAAGAGGACTCTAACCTGTAAATCAAAGATGAAAGATCTCACTCAAGTAGAATTATATAACTCCCTTTTGTTATACAGTCAGACCATATTTTTCATGCATTTGGTTTTCTTAGGATTACCATTTTAATTTTAAAGACTTTTATTACATATACAAAAATGGCTGAATACTTGGTTTAACATCTTAGAAATTTGAGACACCCTTTGAAATAGGAAATCTGAAATGGTATGTAACTCAGTATTAGGTAAAAATTAGTTTTATTGCATAAGGGTAAGGTCAATCTAGACTCATAATAGTAATGAATTTTTGCAAAAAAATTCATATTTTCAGAGAAATTCGTGCCAGTCATATTTGCTAGCTCTTCTATTTTCTGTAATCGCTTGAGGAGATTTACTTTACAGAAAACCAAGTAGTGGAGCCAAAGGAACCCCCACCCCCAACAAGGAAACTTACTTCATATTTTAATTGGGAACGTAATTGTGACTTTTTAAAATCACCTTGATAGTAACAAATCTCAATTAATACTTTCAGTCCTCCCAGATATTTTTTAGATGTTGAATAAGAAAATGAAACAGTACAGTGCAAGCATGCTACTTTGCTGAAGTTGCCTATAATAATTTTGCCACTTACTTACTATATACAACCATCAACCTGATAAAGCCAAATCGCTAGGACATCTCCATGGTTATTTAAATTTAATACATGACACATTAATGAGTTTATCACACATCCTCCCATGTGATACTGTACCCAATTGGTTAGGTCTTCAGGATACTCGGAGAGGCAGATAAACTATGGAGAGGATTAATCACAGCTGAATGTAGTTGTAAGAGCAGAATGCCAGTGCTTTTTGATTAGACCGTTACAAGCTGTAGCATAGCCCTCGGGGACAGAATGGAGGCTTTTGGAGAATATCAATGCTGCTTTTGAAATAGACCAGCACTTTTTAAAAGGGTGGTTTCACGTGGTAATAGTTTTCTTCACTTATATATTTAATTTTTATTGCTCATAATAATGAGGTTATTAGAACTCCTCTCTAAATATTATCAATAATATATCTTTCTGATCCGTACTTTGAAGGTTAAATACACAAGCTTTCTCACAATCTCATAGCTCATACATGATGAATAAAAATGATGACTTTTTAGAAACCAATTCGTAAACAATCATAGGGCTTTAAAATGTTTTGATAATAAGTACAAAAAGAAAATTTTCTCAATTATATAGTACAACCCAGGGTTGCATATAGAATTTTAAAATAGACAATTTTATTAGGATGATAAGTAAAATGGACTTCAAGTGGTAATTGAGGCTATTTAATTATTGCTTAGTAAATAGGAAGAACATTTTGAGATGAAATATTTTAAAACATTTTTAACAAATTTATAACATCGATATTAGAGATAGAAATCCACTTTTAGAGAAAACAGAGATACTCATGAAAAACTATTACAAATCACATTTCATTACCAATCACAAGAATTGAAACCTTGCCTTCAGTTTTGACTATAACCCTTTGCAAAACTTTCACACACCTCTCACTGAAGATAAGCAGAAGTACCTGGCTGGCTCAGATAGTAGAGTGTGAAACTCTTGATCTTGGGGTTGTAAGTTCAAGCCCCAGCTGGGTGTAGAGATTACTTGAAACCTTTTTATAAAAAAAAGAAAGAAAGAAAGCATGGTGGATTTGAAAGCAGGACAACTCCTCACGTAATTTCAGAAACTGTAAGGGCTGGTCTCTCCTAACAGTTTAGTACTATTTTGTTTCCGAAGGTCATTCGTAAAGCTTTGTGGGTTTCATCACAGACTCCATATGGAAGTAAAATAGAATGACCGTGTGGAAAGTCTCCTGGGAGAAAATTTCTCTTCAATCAATACTTTTATACTTATTTTTTATACCAGCATCTATGTTTAGTATGGTTTATTTAAAATATTTCTTACTATTTTTCTTTTGAAAGTTTACACTCAGTTTATCTCAGTGAAAGTATTAAATGTCTAACAGCCACAAAACAAACAAGCCAAAGGTTTCTGTCTTAAAAGCAATTCATTCTGAGATTGAAATAATCACTCTGTCAGAATTTGACATTGTCATTTCTAGTGGCATCTATCTTAACATTCTTTTCGTGCTTCAGGAATGAAATCACTTGACTTGCTGAGAAAATAAGAGAAAAAAAAAAAAAAAGAAGTAGTAGGGAACACCACCTACCTGTTCAGCTATTCCATAAAAAGGGCATTTTTACCTCCAAAAGAAATGAAAACCAGATGATCTAAGCTAAGAAATGGAGGCTTTCTATAGTCATCTTCAAAACTGGTCATCAACATGGCCATGATCTTCTTCAAATATCTCTTGTATTCCCAGAGGATACAATTGTATTTTGGTCTCCAGCAGTATTTTATATTATTTACTGCCTTTTGAATAAAGTATTATGAGTATTACATCACCTGAGTTATAACACCATCACTACAATATGGAAGTGCCTATGTGTGTCTTCTTTTCCCAGTCATATTTACATTGAAAATCATAGCCCGTGCCTCCTTGCTTTTACTCCATCAACTGCTTCATGAAACAAAGCATGCTTGTCATGTGGTCCAGAGTATAAATATTTTAGATGAACATGGTTTACTCATACAGGACTCTAGAACTTGATTCCTCCAAATCAGCTGCAGTCTATTTTTTTATGAAATACATGGCTGGTTTTACATAATGGTTTATGCAACAACTGAGTCAATTAAAATATGCTGGAAATAGCTGGGTCAGACTGTTGAAACTTAGACTGTTCTTCTAGGGCTTTTGGGGCTTAATCTCGATAATAGAGTAATAGGGGTGTAACAATTTCTCAAACCATCTTAATTCTCAAACTGGAACTTTTAGCAAATACATGGTGAATTCACCATATAGTGCCAGTCTTCCTAACCAATCATTTCCACCTTTCTCTCCTTCCCTTGTCCAACTGCCAATACCAAATTGCCGTATCTAAACTATCAGAGTTATCTCTTAAATCTCTATATTTCCTAAGTAAAAACAACCTTGGCAACTTATTTTCTGAACACTACTGATGTGTGCTTTGATTCATGCCTACTTATATAAACTCTGATGGATACTCTTTATCTTCTTTTTACCTTTTCCTTTTCAAGAACCACTTGACTTTTTTTTGACTATTCTTATTTTAAAATATAGATCCAGTTACTGTCTTTTGGTCTACAATTTTGGACCTGGTACTTTGTTTTATTAATACAGAATTTTTCTTTTGGTCTCCAATATAGTTTTCCACCGTTCTTGGTACTGCCTATTTGTGTTGTGCTAGTAATCACATAAAATTGTATATACACTTTTCTTGCCCTTTGGATGATGCCTTTGTGAGTCAAACTCAGAGGCATAAACTCTAACCTGAAGGAAAAAAAAAGGCAGAAGTGTAATTTTAAATCAATATAATTTGGAAATAAGATATTATTTCCAGACTATTCAAAGAAAATTGGAGTTCTTTTATTTTTCTGTTTGGGCCTTAGGCACATTAGAGGCAAATGTTGCAACATCAAAGAAAATAAGGAGGGTCAAATGTTTTGTGGGACAATGTAGTCATGTCCTTTAGGCTTCATTTCAGTGCCCTTTCTTAGAGTTGGCATTTTATGACACTTGATATCTTGCAGCAATTTCAGGCTATTGCTTTTATTAACTTAAAATTGAGTAGAAATGAAGTAATAAAACAACTGAGGAAATAGGAATTCTGAGATCTGAGGAGGAATTGCACTTCCTTAGGGATGAAAAAAAATTGTTTTTAGATAAACTCTACCTATGTGCTTTTTCTAAATTTTAAGATTCTTAAACTTTTTCTGGATGAGCAGTGTCAGTGTCAGTCTCCACCCAAGCTGGGTTATATGAAATTGCCCTTTCAGTGGTTGCTAGGCATAAGAAGTGTTCCATTACAAATGAATGATTATTTTGTAGATTACAGCCTCGTCACTTTTTGTCATTTGAAAGCAAATATCCTGATATTTTTAAACAAGGTGGGCAGGGCAGGCAGGAAACCAATATTTATTACTCTCATGATTAAACACTTTAGATTAGGCTTGTTGATGTGTATGCCAATAATCTGGAGTTTCTGGCTTTGTGTAAAATGAAAATGTCTTTTCTATTGTGGTCTGATATCTGTTTCTGTAATAAGATCATTTTGTTGTCCTCTGTGCACCAGTGGTTTTGCCCTTAATTTTTTTGGCTAGCACTCACCAAAATCTGTCATCCAGAGCTGCTGAGAAAAATACATGTTGCCAAACTTCTTTTCTTAAAATTGTGCTGCCAGTGATGTTTTCCCAGATGTGAAAAATAATTATCTAATAAAGGATTAATACCTAATAACAATACCATTGTTGAACATGCTCATGGAATGTTTACCTTCTTTCTGATTCCTTTTTTTGTATTTAAAAATATTGAATGGATAATTCAATGGTGTGTTCCAAATTATTGTCAATGTTATTAATGTTGTGATTCTCCTTCAAAGAGGATGAAAGATCCCCTTTGTCTTCTGTTTTCTACTGAATTAGATTTTCCTCTAGTCCTAGTGTGAATAAAAGCTGTTTGAAATAAAAGTGTTCTTATTTGTCTACCTCCTTA